ACATGGGATTTAGTACCCCCCTCCCCCAACCAAAATGTAATCTCCGGTAAATGGCTCTTCCGCCACAAACTTGGCCCAACAGGGGAACTCTCCAGGTACAAAGCTCGATGGGTTGTTCATGGTTTCAATCAACGCATGGTATCGACTACGATGAGACCTTTAGCCCGGTTGTCAAACCGGCCACTACACGCATCGTTTTGAGCCTTGCCATATCCAGAGGATGACCGATCCACCAGTTCGACGTTAAAAATGCTTTCTTGCAGGGCTACCTCTCAAATACTGTTTACACCGCTCAGCCTTCGGGATTTCAGGACCCTGCTCGCCCACACTATGTCTGCAAATTAAACAAGGCGCTCTATGGACTCAAACAAGCACCCCGATCTAGGTACCAGCGATTCATGGGATTTGTCCTTTCTCTTGGATTCAGTGGGTGTAAGAGTGACACCTTCTTGTTTGTCTATAGTCGCGGCCAGGACATGGCTCTACTTCTGCTTTATGTTGATGACATTGTCCTCACAGCCTCCTCTACTGCCCTACTTCATCAGCTCACAGCACGGCTAAAAGGGGAGTTTGCTATGACAGACATGGGGGATCTTCACTTCTTCCTTGGGATCAATGTTCAGCGGACTTCTCACGGCCTGTTCCTCACTCAGACTCAGTTCATCTATGACATCCTTGAACGAGCCGGCATGACCTCGTGCAAACCTGTTTCTACACCCGTGGACACCTGCGGGAAGCTTTCGGCCACGGTCGGCCCTCCGACGCCGGATCCCTCTCTATATCGCTCTATTGTGGGAGCACTACAGTATCTCACCTTCACCCGCCCGGATATCACCTATGCCGTGCAGCAACTATGTCTATTCCTTCATGACCCGCGTGTGCCACATGTCACAGCTATGAAGCGCGTTCTACGTTATCTACATGGTACACCTACTCATGGCATCACCATATCACCTTCCTCGACGGATCATATGCGGGCATACTCCGATGCCGACTGGGCTGGCTGCCCAGACACTCGCCGATCGACATCTGGTTACTGCATCTTTCTAGGCGACAACCTCATCTCCTGGTCCTCTAAGCGACAGCTCACCACCTCTCGATCTAGTGGTGAAGCAGAATATCGAGCTGTCGATAATGCTGTCGCTGAAGTCAGCTGGGAACGTAATCTTCTTCTTGAACTCCGGCAACCTCTGACATGCTCTACTCTAGTCTTCTGTGATAACATCAGTGCCGTCTACCTTTCTGCCAATCCTGTCAAGCATCAGCGCACGAAGCATATTGAGGTGGATATTCACTTTGTGCATGACAGAGTAGCCCTTGGTCAGATACGGGTTCTTCATGCGCCTTCTTCCCTACAGTATGCAGACATCTTCACCAAGGGCTTACCCTCCATGGTTTTCTCTGAGTTTCGAGACTGTCTAGGCGTGCGGCACTCTTCGTCGGCGCCGTTGGGAGCATGTTAAATATATTCTTACTATATTTAATATTGATGTATATTGGTAGCTACCATATATATTTGTATAGGGTGTATTAATTTTTGTTTCCTATTGTTATTAGGAAACTCCTGTATATATACACTTGTAATCTCTCATTATTATTCAATAGAAAATATTCATTCTTCACTCAGCCAAACTGACCAGACTTAGCTTCAAATATTGGAAATCTCAATGAACATACACTTTATATGAATTACATTTAGGACCTGGACCTGTAGCATCTTATATGGAAACCCATAATAAATTTAAAAGCAATATTTGTGTGAAGATGTCTGTGAAGCCTAATGGCTGAATAAGCCATGTTAATACAATATAGTATAGAAATTATCAGACTTGGTTCACGTCTAGAATCATATCCGAACGTGAATACATAAATCTAGATAAATATCGAACTCATGATGCATACGAATGAATTATCAATCTTGGTCTTGTGAAACCTAAATCTAGGTATTTAGCCACTCATGATGCATACGAATGAATAAAAGACATACTATATATGTGTAAGGAAGAATAGAGTTGAGCAAAATATGAGGGAAAAATGCTAGGATTCAATTATAAACAAAAAGGGCTACCAAATTGAATTCTTTACAGTCTATGAAGTAATTTGCAATTGGAAGCCACCTTCGTCTGAAATCTGAGCACTGGTCGCCGATTCCAAATTTGAAGCTCGTCGAAGATGAGTCTCCTTGGTTTCGTGCTCGTCCAGAATCGAAGTTCTCGCTCATTGATGAACAGTGCATCGTAGGCGTTGACTTACGAATCATCGCGATCCAGCCCTAAAAATCCCAAGATAAGTTCACCAAGAGCTGCGCAATAAGGATACGAAGAGGAAGCTCCAACAATCGCAATGAAAAGGCAATGGAGTAATCAACGGGAAAGGTCAGATGGACCGCACGCAAGAACAATCTGGATTATTGTTGGATTGAGTTTGCTTGAGTCTATTTTGTTTGGTGGAGGAATGTTTTGACAATTTTTTTGGTTTGAGTTTGGATTTTCAAATTTTGAAATAAAATTGGGAAGATTTTGAAAAAATTTTTGAATATTTGAAGAGGGATTTGTAAAATTCATTAAGGCTTAAAAATTCATTTTGGAGGCTAGAACTTTATACTCCTTTCGTCTCAAAACAAATTACACTCTTATACGATGTAAAAAATATTTCATCTTTTAAAATAATTTTATTTACAAATGTGTATTATAAATAAAAATACAAATTTATGAATTAATAAAATCTATTTGCTTTTATAGGTTGTGTCCTATTTATCTGATCTAATCTTTAAATGCATCATATCAGACCTAATTAGATTGAATTAGACCAAAACAAGTCTAATCGAATCGAACTAAATTTCAATCCAATATGAAAATCTATTCACATGTATAGGTTGTGTGCTATTTGTCTGATCTAATCTTTAAATGCATCAGATTAGATCTAATTAGATCGAATCAGACCAAAATAGATCTAATCGGATCAAATCAAATTCATATCCAATAAGATGAGATCAAAACTTGAAGCAAATCTATTCACTTATATAGGTTGTGTCTTATTTGCGTGATCTAATATTTAAATGCATTAGATTGGATCTAATTAGATCAAATCATACCAAAACAAATCTAACCGGATCGAATCAAATTCAAATCCAATAAGATCAGATCAAATCTTCATAGGAGATCTATTCAGTTATGTAGGTTGTGTCATATTTGCCTCATATACTCTTTAAATGCATCAGATCAGGCCTAATTAGATTTAATCAAACCAAAACAGATCTTATCGAATCAAATCAGATTCAAATCCCATAAGATTAGATCAAATCTTCTAATTATTAGATTAGAAGGCGTATCCTATTTGTCTGATGTAATCTGTAAATGTATTAGATTAGATCTAATAAGATCAAATGAGACCAAAAAATATCCAATCGGTTGTGTCATATTTCCCTGATCTAACCTTTAAATGCATCAGATCAAATCTAATTAGATCAAATTGGACAAAAACAGATCTCATCGGATCAAATCAAATCCAAAACCAATAACATCAGATCAAATCTTTAAAGAGATCTACTATGTTGTATTCGATCAGGCAAATATGACACAAACCGATTGGATCCGTTTTTGTCTCATTTGATCTAATTAGATCTAATCTAATACATTTAAAGATTAGATCAGACAAATTGGACACAACCTATAAAAGTGAATCGATTTCCTTTGAAGATTTGATATGATCTTATGGGATTTGAATTTGATTTGATTCAATAAGATATGTTTTGGTTTGATTCAATCTAATTAGGTCTGATCTGATGCATTTAAAGATTATATGAGATATGATGTTAAAACTCTTTTACTTTGATTTGATTTAATCTTATTTGATGAGATATGATTTCATTAGGTATCATCTAAATAGCATATAAACATGTTAAACTGAGATGTAGTTATCTGATTTGGTATAATCTTATCTGTCTGTGTTTTTTTGAAATACAATATTTTTGAATACATAATATTTTGTTGAAATGAATTGAAATGTTAATATAACTTGAATCTGTATTGTGTTGTCGCTACGCAGATTAGTAAATGATTGTCCCGACGGTATGCTATATACCGGTAAGATGTTATACGGTCAAAAGTATGAGTATCCTAAGGAATTGTAAGTATAATATCTATTTTCTATTTATTTACCAATTACTCCCTCCGTCCCGCTATATTCATCCATTTTTTACTTTTGGAACTGTTCATCTAAGCACTTTAACTCATCAAATAGGATACGCCTTCTAATCTAATATTCGATAATAGAGAATCATACATTCTCTCTTTTTACTTCTATTTTGAGTGATATCGTTTTAAAAAGTTACTAATTTTTTTGAAATAAAAAATACAGAGTAAAAAGTTAAACTAATTAAAGATAAAATCTAAGAAGTAAAACTTAGCAGGGTAGAAGGGACAAAAAAACAGAGGGAATATAAAAGTTTGACAAAACTCAAAAGAAGGAGAAGGAAAAAAAATTTGGCAAAAGAGAGGGAAAAAATTTGGCAAAGGAGAGGGAAAAAAATTTGGCAAAAGAGAGAGAAAATATTAAGTTAAAAATTTTAAGTCCACCCAATTTGGCAAAGGAGACGGATTTTATGGAGTACGGCGTTTTTCTCGCTCTTGACCGCCACATGAATAGTGCCGGAATTGGAGAATCGCCGGTTACTCCATCAATTTGAACTTGTTTTGCTACAAATCTTTAGAAATCAGGGTTGCCTACAGCTGGGGATTCCATATATGAGCTTTTTACGCTGTTTTTGGAGATGGTTTTTGAAGAATCGTAAGGTCAACGCGATGGCGTCACTGTTCATATGCGAACTCAATCGTAGATTTACGTTGTGTTTGGATGGAGGGGGTGAAGGTAGGATTAGGTAGAAAATAAAATCTACCTTGTTTGGGGAAGAAACTGATATAGGTGAGGGAAGGTGAATGGAGGTAGCTTCACTGTGTAACAGTGAAATTTAGGCTACCGCCGATTTCGCGAAACACCACGGTAATCAGATTCTCTTCCGATGCTGCCCTTCGCAAGTCGCTCCTGAGATTCCTTCGCTCTCCCAATCCCGTCGCTCTCCGATCTCAGATCCCTTTGCTAGCCGTATCCGATCTCCGATCTCAGATCCCTTCGCTCACCAACCAGCTCCTCTCCAGCGCTAGATTTTTCCTCTCCCTTCAATTTTTATCTTTTTTTTTGGTTTCTTTTCTTCCGTTGTTTTTTTGTTCTTTTTTTTCGTTTTTTTGTTTCTGCATTCTTTTTCATTTTTGCTTTGTTGTTGTGGTTTTTTATTTTCCGTTTGTGTTTATTATGGTTTATTGCTGTTTTTGGTTATTTATATAAAATTGTTGTTTTTGTGTTAGTTTTTGGTTTGCTGTTTTTTTCTTTTTTGCTAATATTTTCTGTTTTTTTCTATGTAATTTAATTTCATGTTTTTTATGGTTTTTTCTTTTTTTCCCGTAATTTGAATATTTATTGAAATATACTATTTTGTTTTTCAAATTTTTTTAGCTTTTTTTTTGCAATATGAGGTTTTCCATGTTGATGGCATTCCGGCTGGTGAATTTGTAATCGTACAGCAATTGTGGTTGTCGGAGTACTCGTCACAGAGATGCGCGCCGTATCGAAATCCGATCATCTAAGCACGAGGGTATTTAAGTAATTTTATTGTTTACTTACCTCACATTACCTAATGAATACCCAAACACAAATTTTCAATTTATTACCTAACCTTACCTACCTTACTTTACCTACCTTCAATTACCTACCATTACCTACCTAATAAAACTTTACCTCCCTCAATCCAAACATACCCTTATGGTGTCTCGGGCAAATTTGAAGATCTTCCTTCTTGGATTCTCAGCGAAATGGTTAATTTTTCCAAGGTATGAGCATGGGTTACAATTCCATTTCAATAATCAACTGATATGGAAAATTTTTGGGTATGTGTTACTGTTCACAACTCGAACTTTGAGTCTGCTTTACACTGATGTTGGACCACGGGTTTGGGTAATGTTTTGCTGAGGGTGGTGCCACTATGAACATGAGAGTTTTGAGTCAGTATGCTCGAATTTTTAAGCTGGACCACTTCATTCAATTTGCATCTCTGTTTTAGTTTTTAAATGGTTGTTATTTTTGCTGTTTGGATGGGTTGTGAACCATGGTTGCCTATGATTTTTGCTTTCGAGTATGGAGAATGTATGCATACACACACCCTCCACATTACATAATATTTATGGTCAAGCAACCAGTGGCGGTGGACCCCCGTTTTCAACAATCGCCCAAATGCGCCCCCTGTCAACTTCTATGGGACATCCTGACGCTGAGGATTATCGTAAAAAAACATGAAACCACTACAATGGTTTACCGTGTATTCTATCACGTCAAAGCTTTGTATATTTTAATGTTGCTCATCATTGATTTAGCTGGGATTGTATGAGGGGTATCAGGTTGTAGATAGTATGACAAAGGTTGATTCCTATGTAGTTAGATCATGAGGAAGACACTATGAAATGCATTCTCTATACTTTACTGGGTGGTATGGCTTAAGCTTTAAGAATCGTAATGCTCAAACGCTATTTCCCGTGTGATATTTATTTTGATCTCCCCACATCATTTTATCATTTCACCTTCATGCACTTTATCACTTGTGATTTAGTTTGCAATCTTAGCATGTTATGAGAAATACATGATTTTGCACGTACTTAGATCTTGCTATGTTCTCTTTAATGTTTAAACTTCAAAGTTGTTACAGATAGTGATCCGTGTGCCTAAAGTCACATTGCTTTCATCTCTTGAAGTCTACGATTCATCCTCCTTTGGATTCAGTTTATTTTTTCAATTGACATTGATTCCCTACTATTCTGTTATCTAGGGTGAAAACGTTCCGGATCCGTTCATCACATTTGAGGCTACTGGTTTTCCTCCAGAAATACTTAGAGATGTAAGTATAATATCCTTGACATTGGACCTACAGACCAGACCTACTGTGCTAGAGTGACTCTTCAACTCTTTCTGGATCTGTGTAATATTTATATTTTATGGAAGCATTGACCTTAACAGTTGTCACTTGTCGTAGGTGCGATATCTGCTTCGGAGGAGGAGCACATGTTAGACGCTGTTTTGCTATGAAATGCTCATACACTTCCCCAACTAGTATATTGAGTTTTTTGAGGCTGCAAAGCGGATAGTTGAAGCCTCTTGCATAGCTTCTTGAAGGTTAGTTGGCCCTTCATCCAAATAACAATATACGTGACTGGGATTTCTAGCTTATTGGCTCTGCATCCTCTGTTTTAATTTCTATATTTTGTTGCCTTGAGTTGCTTCTGTAAGCAGGTGCATTCCTTCAAACCTTATTTGGGATCCTTGTTCATTTTTCAATTTAGTTTATTATTATTATTTAATCGTTCTCAAAGTTTGGATCCATTTTTGAAATCTCAAGCTTGTTTTTCTAATTTTTTTCCATGCACGTCATAGAGTGTTCTCCACATTATGTTTTGTTGGTATGGATTATGTTTATAATGTTTCTGTAGCTTTGTTTTGCTGGATTCACTTCTCTCACACCAATCCAAGCACAAGTGTTGATTTTGACTATCATTGATACATCTTGCTTATAGACCATATGTAGAAGCATGACATTGTGTTTATATATTGATTTTTGAATTTTAAGTGTTGATTTTGACTAAAATCTAAACTGAATTATTTTTTGTTTAGAAAAATCTGCTGCTTTGCTTGATTCTTAAGCTGAATTATGAACTTCAATTGTTAAATAGATGCATATGAACTATAGAGGTATTTAGCTAGCAAATAACTGCAAAAAATTTCAAGTACTTTTGTTATGAACTCTTTCTTCTTGTCAACAGACATTAGTTATTTAATGGTATGCAGATTGAGGACCAAAGTGGATGCTTTACAAGAAAATGTTGCTAGAGCAAGAGATGTATTCAAAAATGTTATTGAGGGGACAAATAACTAAACTAGGCATGTTGGATGGACAATTAGAGTGTGATTTTAATTATGTAAATATTAAATTATTGGATGCTATTTAGACTTGAATTGTATGTATTTAGATATTATTTAATATATTCTGCATTTTAGAATTTATTTTTGTTTCATGATCAATATTTTGGAATTGAAATAAATTTTTTTATTAAATATAAATGTAAATTGAAGTATAGTAGTCTTTCAAATAGCTTTACAATGTATTAAAACAGTTTTCTAAATCTTTAAAGGACAACTACACAAACCTGTATTGTTAATAAACGTTAGACAATAGAAATAAACAGTTATGTGAAATACAACAAAGATAGTTGTTTACATTTTACAAATACAACACAGAATAGCAGTTGTCTTACGCAAACATACTTAGTTGTCTTCGGAGCAGTAATCTGATTTACAATCTAAGTACTGTGTAAAAAGATAGTTTGAATATCTTCATCTTCATATATACAATGGTAGGAGGCCAAAATGAACAGTATTCCCGCTAAAAGTTATTGGGCCGGGTATAAGCTATTTGAGCTGGGTTATTTTTGGGCCTGAATTCAGATCTTGGATTGGGAAAGGGTGGCGCCAGGCTGTTTTCTAATATGCTAGCTGTTACATAGGGCGGCTAGAGGAGTATTGCATAGGGTGGCAAAAGTAATGATGAAAAAAACTTTGGGGATTGTGTACACTCTATTTACACGGCACACACCACTTTTTAGGAGCCCAAATTACTGCTTTCCATTTATTGGTTTAGATTTGATAAAATCTTAGTGTACATGAATATTAAATGTAAAAGATTCTCTCACCACTCCTAAAACATTATTTAACCCAACAAAGATTTGCAATAAAGATATTACATGGTATTTGATTTGCAAATTTTTTGAGCTCCATGCCTTGCATCGAACTGTGTAAAAAGTGAAAGGGGGAGGTGGCAGCAGCAACATCAAATCAGGGTACAACACTACAACCCACACATTAAATTTAATACATTAATTACAAAGCTCACAATATAAATAGACTTAAATTTAACATTTTCAATGTCCACTCTCCAGGGCATACTTCTTCAACTTCAAGGTTTGCAACTTCATCTTCTCTGCATTATTAATTGTTCTTCCTCCTAGAAAGATTCTTTTTTACTTTTTTTGCTATGTGATTGCAGATTACACATGGATCGAACTCCACAAATTCAAACCAACTCGATCATGTTTAAAGACTTAGATACAAACAAAAAATACAAACAATGAAACAAAACACGTACCACTTTGATGGCAGTGCACCATAAACACTGCGTTCAATTCTTTTTCAATCTTGAAGAATTAAAGATAAAGAAATACAGAGTATTTTATACTCAATATTGCTATTACATTAATGACTTTAATAAACTAGATTACTTAGTATTTCCCGTTTACTTTTCAAATCTTTTTTGAAGACCTTAAAAACTATGAATGGTGCATTAGAAATTAGAATTATGATACTTTTTTAAATAGATGAAGGGTGTTTCTTATGAAAAAGCCGTGTTATTTTTTAGTTTAAGATTCAAGGCTCTAAATAAATTTTATATTAGTCAATTGTCTTACATAAGATAGTGTAAAAATTACCTTTGAAAAATAATGAAGAGTATTTTCCAAATAACCAGTTTTGATAAATAGTCTTTGAAATAGCTATTCATAGTGCAAGTTTAAATAAATTTATATAAATCCAGTGAATAATTTTGAGTTGAGAAGACAAACACAATGTCTAATGTCAAGATTACCTTTATGATTGACATGAACATATGCGTCTCAGAGTGAACCTACAAACCAAAAAATGACATTAGTTTCAATTGGAAATTTCATTTACAATTAAAAAAAATCTTTGGAGTAAAAACGTGTGGATTCATAGCCCTTATTGTCAATAAATAGTTTCTGCTACTTTCATATTAAGTCTGTTTATATAGCATGTGTCTATTTTAGATTCATATCTAGATTTGCATGTCAAATTATACCTTATGAAATGGTTAAACAAATTTGAAGATAGGTGGATGAAATTTCTGAGGAATTTTTGTAAGAACAACTAAAATCCAGAAATTTTGATAAACTAATATCAAACAAGAAAAAACAGATCTAAGAAAAACTCAGGAAAATTTAGAACAATGGGATATATAAAATTAAAAATACTAAACATCAAAAGAAAATCAGTATTTCGAAGTGGAAGAAATGGAACACTATGCCTACCTCCGACAGTCGGTTCCCGGCGTGCACCTCCGACAAGTTACCGGGACAAGAAATGGATGGTCACGAGCGATGGTGTACCGGCGCAATTAACAGGTGGATTCGGCCGTCGTTTCTATTCTTTGATGGAGAACTCTAGAGAGAGATAAAGCTTAGTTGGTCCGCAAAATTGAGAGGAAAATGAGATCTCGGCCAAACTGAGAGGAAAACTCTAGAGAACCAGAGGAAAATGGAAGACTCTAGAGAAAAAGATAAAGCTAGAGAATTAGGGATGTGAGAAGATTATTGAGAAGAAAATGGGTTGTCACGATGGAATATGCTATATATACCCCAAGGTTTGTACCCCAATTTGTACCCCGCAGTTTAAACTAATTTTTGTTAAACGCACCAACATTTGTGTCCGTGTGAATTTTTATTAACGCACCAACACTTGTGTCGGTGTAAACCATCGAAATGTTTGTGCAAAACTGTGGTGTACAAATGGGGTATATTTTTTGGTGTAAGTGTAGTATGGTCCTTGTCATGATAAGTAGGATAAAGAAGTGAAGCCCAAATTCAAAGGGGTCGATTAATATTTTAATGGTTCATACCATCAGAAAATGTTATTTCAATCAAAAAAATTTACACTAATTTTTTCATTATAAACTATTACGCTAGCATTATACTATCACAATATATTGGTGCATGTTTTCAAAGTACAAAGTATGGTACAATTTTTGGGGTACATATAGTTTATATACTCTGTATCGTGTTCTAAAAATTTACTCTCTCTGTCTATTTAAATTATATTTTTCCATTTAATTATGAGGCAAAGTCTCACACATTTTCAAAATCAATTTTTTGAAAAATTGGAAAATGAATAATTAATAAAATCAATGTCTACCTCGGTATCTCAATATTTGTCCGATTTTAGCTATTTACAATCAACTGTTTAAAATCATAAAGAACTAGATAAAATGATATGTTATTAAAAAAATTATAAAACAAACCTAATAATATCATATCCATATTCAATTGGACTAAATCCGCCCAATTTATGATTAATTAACAATATTACCCAAAACAATTATTTGTATCTAAACTCTCTTTTGTATATTTAAGGATAAAATTATTAATTTATCGTAAATGGAGTGTATTTAGTCAAAATGGTTGTATATTTAACAACATCCCACTATTTTTATATCAACATTATTTTCAATTTTATTTTAAGTACTGGTCAAAGTTTGTTATTTGACTGTAAAAAGTCAAAACTAAATAAATATTCATAAATAGAGGTAGTAAAAGACTACATCGAAATTTCTATATAACAAGAAATCATAAGAATATTTTATTTTATCAAATTAGGAGTAATACAAAATACATAAACAAACAAAATTTATCGAGAGGTAGGTTCTAAAAAATTACAATCAATTTTGAGATAGAGGTATTACATTGTATTTTTCGTGTCATAATAGTCTTCGTTCCGTATTAATGTTTGTGAATGAGTCGAGTTTGTAGTTTATAATAATAAAATTATATCGTTGAAAGTTGTACAAAGAAGAGAGAATGATCTAAGTCCCAACATGTTTTCTTAATATGGAAAGTAAAATTCTATTTACGATGGATAAAAAAGATATTAATGAACATTGTTACGAGATGGAGGAAGTATGACATTTGTCAAATTAGATCAATTTTTGCAATTGCTAACTATATCAATCAACAAGCACTGGGCAGAAATGAGGGGTAGGATTTACGGATACACCTAGGAAACCCTTTAATATCAAGTAAAATTTTATGAAATCATTTACTTAAGTGCATTCCATACTGAAAAAATATGTATACAAGATTGCAAGTTAACACTTTAAGACCCATGTATACAAGTAACCCTAGCCCATAAGCATTAAGTAACCAATAGATATCGATTTTTAATTATATCGAGTATACATTCCTACTTCAGAGCAACCAATAACCATGTTAAAGATTTTCAATTGTAATTAAAAAAAGACCAGCATCCTATAATACTAAAAATATACTACTAATTTACAAAAAAGTTTTTCAAGTTGTACTTGTTGGACGTTATATTTGAATAATTCTCCATGGAAAATGGTATGTAAAACATTAGTTTTTTATATTTTCATAATTAACTAAAGTTATTAGCACCTTGATTTAGAAGTTAACATAAATTAATCACACCAAAATAAATAATCCGTTATTTACAATACAAAAATTGGCCGTGTAACGCACGGGTACGGTGTCCCAAATCATGAACTAAAGTTGAAGATTGGAACACCCATTGTGTTCTTGAAAAAGATTGATCAATCATCAGGTCTGTACGATGAAACAAGATTGATATAACTCGACTCGGCAATCATCTTATTCAAGGCACAATGATAACAGGAAAAATGTCTCAAAACAACTATTATCCCACGATTGTCGCTTACACCGTCAGATGCAAGAATTCATTTTTAAAGGAAATAATTTCCAATCATGACTTCAAACGCAATGACAATTAACAAAAGTCAAAGTCAATCTTTGTCTCATGTTGGATTGCTACTAAAGAAATTGGTATTCAGCCATGATCAACTCTATGTTGCAATTTCACATGTTGCAAGCCGCGAAGGGTTAAAGATCTTGATTTGCAATAAAGACCTTCCGTCATCCAACCAAATTACGAATGTAGTTTATAAAAAAGTGTTCCAAAACTTAAAACAATTCATATCGACTACAGTCCTTGCTGTACACTACCTTATTTTGGCCATTTTAATAAAATTTGTAATTTGTATCATTTTTTATTATTCCAAACCAAGACTAAATATAAGTAATTTTACAGCCCGTGCATCGCACGGGTACGAGTCTAGTTTCAAGGACAACTACAAAAAAGCGTAGTGTTATTGAGCACTATACAAGTGAAAGAAATAGTTGTTTAAAATACAACAAAATTAGATGTCTACATTTTAGAAATATAACACAAGATAACAATTGTCTGATGCTATTTTTGTTTAGTAGTCTTCCAAGCAGCAGTCTGATATATCTTTCAACTACTTTTGAAATTAGATGTCTATACTATTGAACGACAACACCACGCAATAGGAGTTGGAAGTCGAAAACAACAGTAATATTCATTATAGATAGACAACAAAACACTACAGTTGTCTTTAACTCCAGAAAACAAATGTCTTATTCATACGAGGACAACTTCAAGAACATGTACTCTGAAACATCACAAAATAGGTGTCGCCAACCGTATTAAACAATTATTTTTAAACAGTAGTCTGTAAATATATCAGACAGCTGCTCGAAAGACCACTGAAACTAGCACAGTTAGACTACTAAAAAGAAGAGTTGTCAATATCTGTTTTTGACGTAGTGAATGTACACTAATAGAATGTATTATCATTTAACTTAATCCTGATAATGTATTGCTTTTACATGTAAATGCATTAACTTGATTCTAATAATGCACTATAATAGAAAAAAATAAACAAAAAGAAATAAGAAAAAGAAAAATAAAAGCAGCAATATATAGTCCTAGTGAATACCAAATTATCCATCAACATTGTCAAGATATACAATGTCTAGTAGTATAATAGATTAAAACAACAAAATGTAAAAAAGAAATAAAATAAAAGCAACAATATACACCCTCAATGAACAACAAATTCTCTAGTAACATTATCAAGGCCAACAATTTCCAACTGTTGTTATTTTGCCTAGTGTTTGTTTCTTTGTTCTTGACAAAGCCAATCCTTCGTACCAAAAGCTAAATCTTAGATTTTTTATGATGGAAAAGGTAAATCATGTAATCCTAAACACCATCTAATTAAAGGTAGCACATGTGCACTATAGAGACCAATTGCAACATGCAATATTAACAAGACCATATCAATTGAAGCCATACAACAACAATCAAACAACATGCATGCATTACTAACAAGTTGCATCACCTAAACTAAAAATGTTTGCATCACCTACCTATAAAGTAGTTTTTAAAATATGTATGCAACAACCAGTTGGGATGAAGTACTATACAACCTGCATGAACTACTTACAAGTTGGGATGCATCACTCTAAAACCATATAACTGTCAACACGTAACATGTATCTGAGCATATTTCTTCTTGAACTAAAGATTATATAACAAATAAAAAATAAAATTTTTGATGTATACTTAGTGTAAAAAGTTTGATTCATCAGAAATTCTATTTAAATTTCTCATCTTAAAAACTTGTGATGTGTGTATGCATCATTTACGATACGTATTGCACTTAATGTTAAGCACACTGCATACTGATCAAGATCGAGCATAGGACAATGATCAAAGGAGGGGAGAACTTATTACAGTTTTGGCCTTTTGGGATCTACAACTTCTGCAAAATTTAGGCCTTCATGCCTTCACTTCTGCCTTGGAGTGTGTGTGCACATTAAGGATGAAATGGAGAGTGTCCCATATTAAACCATCCATATTCAAACTGGAAGAGACCGCGAGGGAGGGGGGCGGGGGTAGGGGGTTACTTGAGACCCTTGGAGTATCGTGATGTTATCCAACCCAAAGCTCTAGTTCCATTCGTAGATTTCTTTATGGAAATACGTCGAACAGCTTGTGGGCATCCTTGGAGCTTCATACCTTAAATCATAAACTCGGCCATTCTCTAAGGTGAAATTGAGGAATCCAAATGCAAAAAAATATTATCCATTTTAATGAAACAATAACCGGATGTTTTCATGAATCGAACTCCCTCCCCCATGAACATACCTGCACATATCTGCACTTTCCATCAGAGATTTACTAGTTTGGACAACGGAAAGATGAATTCAAGATGACCACAGAGGTTCCATACTAGCAACTGGCAAAACGGAAATCAAAAGTTACAAAGATCAGATGCAGGTTTTGAGGGCAAAAGATCATATGTATACGAAAAGAGAGATCATATATATATATATATATATATATATATATATATATATATATATATATATATATATATATATATATATATATATAGGGGCCGGTTCCTGTGAGAATGCACCTTGTGGAGAGAAATGAGAATAAAATCTAGCCGTCGGATCTGATGCATCGTGCGGCTCAGATTGCATTCTGCGCTCAGATTTTGAGATAATGCATTTTCGAAGGTTTATGGTGCATTTCGACGTGATGCATTTTCGCACCATTTTAGTGCATCTAATTTTGATGAAATCTCGGCCCTTAGATCTCACAATCTAAAGCACCAGATTCATTCTCATTTCTCTCCTAAAATTGCATTCTCACCAGAACCAAAATCTATATATATATATATATATATATATATATATATATATATATATATATACATGGGCTGGTTCCTGTGAGAATGATCCTTGGTAAAAGAAATGAGAATAATTTTGGTCCATTAGATGTGATGGATCGTGTGGCCTAGATTAAATAGATATGTCATTGACCAATTCAATTTAAATAAGGAAGGAAATCAGTACGATGCACTAAATTAGGGAGTAATAGTTCCTGGGGTTAAATTAGACATTTTCAAAGTTTAATATCCCACTAATATCACGCCATTTGGATCTCATGGAGCCATGATTTGAAGAAATTTAATGTTGTGTTCCCCTTGTTTTTGAAAGTGCTGTGCTCCCCTTTATTAACATAGAAAGGATTATTATTATTATTATTACTATTATTATTATTATTATTATTATTATTATTATTATTATTATTATTATTATTATTATTATTATTGTTAACAGATTGATGTGATTTTCTTTTATTATTCTACGACACTCATTATTCTGCACATATTTTTTTAGAAACAAGTCTATTTTTAATAAATAATATATCGTTGAAAATCTCTTGTATAGATTTATATAAAGACAACAATATTGAACATAAAATTTTAAAATAATCTTATTTTCAAATTTAAATTTAAAAAAGTGAAATTTGAACATATATATTTTAATTTTTTTTAAATAAATCTCTCGTCTAGTTTACCTAATAAAGCCAATATTGAATGCACTATGATGACTCATATATGCACTATGATTAATCCTTAAAGATATTATTTAAAATTTATTCTATTTATTTATGGAGTAGTGAATTATCAATCCCAAATGATTTTGAATGTAATGTAAAAGCTTGAGAATGCATTGTATTAAAAAAAGTACTCTAATACAAATTGGACAAGTATTTTACCTACGGGGGATTCGAACCCACATCTGTAGTACATACCGCTCTACCATTTGAGCTAATAGGCAATAAAAAACTTTATAAAAAGAAAACCCATTTTGCATTTGGAAATATCAAATATGCATTTTAATCTATTAGAGTGTGCATCATTCGACATGTTTCTAACTCATATTCAAAAATATCACATAACATTTTAAATGTATCATCGTTTGTAAAAGTTTTACCTTGATTTTGAGAATGCACAATAACAGAATGCGTTATTCTTTATCATTCTAAAAATGTATTATTTTCTTATGAAAATGCATTACTTTGATCTTGAGAATGCATAGTAACATGAACCTATACAAAATTTGTTCATTAAAAACAAACTCCATCTCAAGTGTATAGTTGCACCAGTTTTGTTGCATGATCACAAAGAAAATCTGCATGCAAAGTGTTTGTAGTGTGCATTTTAAAAGTTTATACGAAGAAAGTGGATCATAATGAAGCTTTTTTTCAACAAATAAAAGGCACTCTTACCAAGTGTGCACTCTTATCTAAAATGCATTCTCTTATCACATAAATACATTACCTGTATTCTGATAATGCACAATAACGGAAACTCATGTATATTTTAGAATTACCCCGGAGTATAATTTAACAATGCAAAATATGCTACAATGCACTTTTACTTCTCTGTACTGTGTTGCATTGTTGGAGTAAATAATATGCAATTACGAATACCTTGCTCTATAAATTAATACTAGTATTTTTGATGCACATCTTATAATGCAAAATCTGGCACTAAAACAAGCAAGAGAATAAAAAACAAAGTAGAATCAAAACTTTATGATGTGTATTTTTTTAAAATAATGTAGTGTATCTTGTTTAAGAAAAAAAGTAGACTTTTGATTGAAAAGGATTATTAAGAAGATTAACATGATTCCAATCAGATTTGCAATAAAAGAATGGTAGATTCAAAATTTTTTATACTCTAAATCTAATATCAAGAGTATATTTCTAGTTTCAAATTGCACCTGCTTTGTCTTTGAAACATTTTCACAAACAATTTGTGTGCATAAATAAAAAACATGAACGTGGTAGACATTGATATTGTATATCATGGGAATTCTAAATAGATGAACTAAATATAATTCTATACAAAAGAAAATATATTAAACAACAAGGTATCACGTGGGAACAAAATAGATGTTGGGAAATTAAGGTTGGGAACCCATTTTTTCTCATGTATGAATTTAACAAGAGATAATTCACTCACCTCAATTGGATCGACGAAGAATCTAAGTGACTACTAGATTCCAGCGAAGAACCCTCGCGATGTCCGGCAAAGCTTCCCGGCGATTCCTCTGCTCTGGACGGTAGTTGCGTGCCAAGGAGAAGGCAGACCATTTATATGCCCCATTAGAGCATCTCCAAGGGAGAGTCTAAAAAATTTAAGGCTAAAAAATTTAAGGCTAAGTCTAAATATGCTGCAAAATTCCCAAACAAAAAATAAAAAAAATGCGGGCAAGATATAAAGAAAAGAACGGAAGCAATAGATAGAATTTTTTTTGCAATTCATCACTGCTTTTTCTGAAAAAAATTGTTGAATCGATGTATGCTTACCTCCAGAAAATTTTTGCAAAAAAATCTACTAGCCCAGTACTTGTCTGCTAGGGTTGGCCTTCAAGACTATCCAACAACATGGAAGAGAACAAAGGGGAAGACCAGAGACGAACTTGAAGTAAAATAAATGGAATAGTGGAATACACTACCTATTGTATCCTCTATTTATGAACGACGGGAAAGGGAAAATAGCATTCAATCTATTTTATAAAGGATGCGTTGGAGACCCAATTTTTGTACAGTATAAGGTAAATCTTTTAGATTTTACACTATATTCATTTATAAATGACCCGTTGGAGTTGCTCTTACCATAATTAATTTTTTCGAAATTGGGTGTATAATTGTATAACTTACCTTTTTTAATTATTTCCAATTTTCAAAAACTTACTCTTTGCATTTGTAGAACTTACGCTTTGGATTTCTAAAACTTACCTTTTTTAATACGGTAATTATTATAAATATAATAATTATATTAACTTCTGATGGCTTACCATTTTATATTACTCAAGTTAATTATTATAAAAACAATTATATTAACTTCTGATGGTTAAAAATGATACTCCCTTCGTTTGCAAAAAGACTTCCCATTTTGATTTGGAGCAAAAATAAGGAAGTTAAATTATAGTTGATTTCCATTTTTGCCCCTGATGTGATGGGTAAAAGTAAGATGTGATGGATAAATTATTAGAGAAAAAGTATGATGTGATAGGTAAGGTATGAAAAAGTAAGGGTAAAAGTAGTTTTTTAATAGAAAGAGAAAGTGTTTTGTTGGAAGTGGAAAAAATGGAAGAGGAAGTGTTTTTGAGAACGGAGGGAGTAGTTACTTATTCTTACCATAATTTCATACGTTTCCAATCAGTAGTCAAAATAACATTGGTTAATTATTAGCATATAATGCATTGATTCCAATTTTATTAAAAACTTAAGCTCTGCAATTTTATAACTTACCTTTTTTAATTATTTCCAATTTTCAATACATTAATTATTATATATATAATAATTATATTACGTCACACTTACCATTTTATATTACTCACGTTAATTATTATAAAAATAATAGCTTTATTAACTTCACACTTACAATACATTAATTGATTATTATAAAAATAATAGCTATTATTATATTTATACCTTTTTTTTAATAATTATAAATCCACAATTTCGGCAACTTACCATTTTAACATCACAATTATTTACTTACCTTTTGGCCATTTTATAATTATTATAAATATAATAATTATAATAATTATTACTACAATTTCGGCCACTACAATTATTAACTTACCTTTTTTAATTAGTTCCAATTTTCAATACGTTAATTATTATATTTATACCTTTTTTTTTAATAATTATAACTTCACAATTTCGGCCACTTACCATTTTAACTTCACAATTATTAACTTCCCTTTTGGCCATTTTATAATTATTATAATTTATAAGTATAATATTATAATAATTATTACTACAATTTCGGCCACAAAAATTATTAACTTACCTTTTCTAATTATTTCTAATTTTCAATACGTTATTATTATATTTACACCTTTTTTAATAATTAGAACTTCACAATTTCCGCCACTTACCATTTTAATTTCACAATTATTAACTTATCTTTCGGCCATTTTATAAATATTATAAATATAATAATTATAAATTTATAATAATTGTTACTATAATTTTGGCCACTGCAATTATTAACTTACCTTTCGGCAATTTTAACTTACCTTTCTTTAATTATTATAAATATAATAATTATTACTATAATTTCGGCCAATTACCATTTTAACTTCACAATTGCCATTTGTAATTCTCATACTCTTTGGGCGGGAAAACCATACGTTGACTCCATGTCTTTTTAAATAAAGTATGGATTATTATTATTATTATTATTATTATTATTATTACTATTATTACTATTATTACTATTACTATTTCTATTATTATTATTATTATTATTATTATTATTATTATTATTACTATTATTACTATTATTATTATTATTATTATATTACTAAATCTCTTTACATTAATTTATTGAACTGTATTGACTATTTCCCTCACCACGATTCACACAAAATTCCAAACTTAACAAATAATATGACGTTGGTCACTATTTTACGAGGTCTACCCGAAAATCTAATTTTTAACTAAAATGGTCAACTTTACAAATATTTCATATTTTGGAGTCAATAAATAATCTATTTATTTTTATTAAAATAATGGCTAATTATTAAGCCGGTTTTCATGGCGTTACATTTCTCCCCCCCTCCCCCTTAAAAGAATTTCGTCCTCGAAATTCCTTTGCATCCTTGTCGCTGAAATAGACGAAGACATTGAATTCGCGCGGATCCCTTGGCGTAGTAGGAAATCGTTATCACTCCTTTCACAACCATACGCATAATCCAATAGGAAAGTACGTACAGGATACGTAGCTAAGTTAGGATCATATAATGTTATGTATACCTACGATGCATATAAGAACGTACCATAGTCGACATCTGGGTTAGGATCGATTTGAAATCTACGTTCGTATTTGTCATAAGGATTGATTTGCACTAAAACCTATTTGTTATGATCATTCGGGAATTGTTGGGTTTTGATGGAAACTATGGGTAGGACGCGTGTTTTATAACCTATGTTGAAATTACGTGATTATGGGATATTCATTACGTGTTTAACATCGTGTTTGAACGTTGGAATTGGGTAATGGGTGTTGGATGCCGAGAGGAAAACGAGCTGGTGCAGGAACTGGAACTGTCGCGGCGAACAGTAGGTCGGTACCGCCGGGACGGTACCCAGGTACCGTCACCTTCCTCATTTCCACCTCTCACTACCGGCACCTGTCTCCAACCGGTACTCCAGTACCGGAAGGACGGTAGGCCCTACCGCCAGGTCGGTAGCGGCCACCGTGGCAGGGTACCGTGCGAAGGTACGAGGCATGCCAGACGGTACCCTTGTACCGTGGGACGGTACCTTGGTACCGTGGGGGCGGTAACCCCCTACCGTTAAGGGTACCGTAAGGTACCAGAACTGGGCAGCAGACCAGATTTCGCCAAGGACGGACTCCGAGGCTTGTGTGTATTGCATGACGGGAAGTCAGGGGTGTTAACACCCTAGACCAACCACTAAATGATATATCTCTGCTACCAGGTGTTGATCCACCGAATGTTAATTATGTGATATATATATGTACATATTGTTCCTGATGTTGCAAGTACGAGTAGGCTGATCGAGCGCACAGCAAACAGGTACCACATGTTGATCCAACATGTTGGGTAAGATAAGTCTACCCAGGGGGAACCCTTGGGACGGACTCGATTATAGGAATTTAGAGTGTAAACCAGGTGGATGCCTGCTAGGATCCAATGGTTAAGTCAAACCGGGTAAAAACGTACGTACGGGTATCCTTGAACTACCTGGTGATCCATCAGGTGGGGATTCCACCCACCCAACGGAGAACTCCTTCGTTGGTTGAGCATGACCCGCTGATCCAGTGGGAACCCTCATGTCTCCCATACAGTAAAGTTAAAGTCCTTAGACTAGAATAGGTATAGGGACAGGGTTTGGTGATCCACCAAGCATGATAAAACTCACAGGTTGAAAGTGAATGGAACATTGAAGCGCCAAGTACATCGGGTGAATTTCTCTGTGTATGTGTGTGAACTTCATGTTGGTTGCATGATATCTCGTGATTATTATGAATTGTGGATTCATTTGATTGTTTACTTGACGTTAGTTATATCTCACTCAGCGTCAATGCTGAGCGTGTAGTTGTTTGTGTGCTACACGCAGGTAACCAGGTAGAAGATGAATCTAGAGCCGATCCCGGAAGGAGATGAGGACGAGGAGATGTGGGTGGAAATAATGGAGGATCTCGAACTCCTAATTATTTATGAATAACTTAATACGTTTTCGGGCATGAGTCCCAAGCTGCATTTATTTATTTATCAGGCTTCCGCACTATCTTACGTTTACTCTAATGTTGGATTTTTGATGAACGGTTGGATGTTTTCTTAAATTGTTTGAAAAGTAGCGTACGTTAGATACCGGAATGGTGGCAACCCGACTCGCTAACCCGTGGATCCGGGTTATGCGGGTTGGGGTGTTACAGAAAATGCAGGACCCGGATTCGTAGGACAATTCTTCCTTTGATGACCAGCTTGCATGCATCCCATACATAGTCCTAACGTCCACCAGCACTCTCCTGGATGATAGCGATTGCAACGGGTGCACAAGGGATGCCTAGGTTGTTTCCCTTTGCTTGTCGAGGCAACAGATTGAGTAGGCACTGATTTGGCTTTCTTTCGATTTAAATATATCATGAAAAATATGAAATTTATTTAGAAGTGAAGAAATATCTTATTAATTACTTAGGGCCAATTTGGTGAATTTTTGGAGATATTATAAGATGTGGGTTATGAAACCTCAGAGAAATGATATGGATTTTGTAATATGAAATGATTTTATTTGGAGAGACTTAAATTCAAGATTTAATTGGTGATAAGCAAGCATGACTGGCAACGAGAGTAGTTGGCAGTGACAATGGTAGCGAGTGGTGAAGATGATCAACAGTTGAGAGAGATATCAATACCCCATATTGATATCTCTTGAGTTCGGGAGATATTGAGACCATCCATTTTAAACATTTATGATATCTGAAGATATTAAATTTGATAACTCTTTTGGCTTCACCAAACACTAGAAAAGGATTAGGATATCTAGAGATATCAAAACTCATTTTTTTGCTCGCCAAACACACCTTTAGAAGTTTTGTAACAATTGAATAGAAAAATATGCATAATTAGGAAATAATTTATTATTAAAGTGAATATCTTTATTCTCTTCCATAATTAATTGTACCGAATGACTTCATACCATAGTATTAACTTCTTACTTTCTATAATATATTTTACATGTCAGAAATGTCTCGTCAACCACATCATATCTCAGCTTCTTAGAGATTAAAATATCAATTTTATAAATAATGGATCAATTATAAACGTATTTGATCCTTTCCTATAAGAATACTTTTAAACGAAAATATATCATTATCAAAATTTTGTTTTTTGTGTATGCACATAGTCAAAAATTTGATTCATAAAAAATGCTAGTCTAGAAATGATCAGTGATAATACCAATTTTATATTTTCCCTAATTTTTTGCTACATCATTATAAGTTTTATGCTCAAATTATATTTTATATAATTTTTTTCCTTTATTAACTTTATTCCGGACAATACTATATTTATCTATCAAAAATTTGATTTTATAACATAATTAATTTTATCACACCACAACAAATAAATAAATGAATTGCTTTTTAAAAATAAAAAATATAAATACTCAACTAATGTCACGAAGTAATGAATTCTTTATTTGTCCTAAATCTTTTTACGTAAAATTTTTCTAAAATTTAAAATCATTATTAAATTTCTATTTTAAAATAAAAAGAAAGTCCAATTCATCATTAAAAAAATTTGCCACTTAAGCAACCAATAAAGGCTTGCCATCTCACCTTAATAACCCACATAAGCTTGACTGTAACGCCCTGAGACCTGGTCTATTAGCATTGATTAATTTAATTAATTAATTACTAACTTGGACTAGAGTCGGGAAAATATAATTCTTAGAAAAACTATTTGAACACATCATAATATTCATCTTGACTGTCTGATTCCAGAAATGCAAACAGATCTCAATTCGGACCCGTTCGGGGGGGGGGGGGAACGCGTACAGTTTAGGTCAGAATTTATCAAAATGAAATGAAGTAATGAGAGGTAACTCCCCAATTACACCCATACGCCACCCCCATTTCCCTTAACCTCCATCATTATTATTTCAATTATTTCCATATTCATTTCTCTAATTTAAAACCCCCACCTCTCCATTCATTCTCCTCCCACCATTGTAACCCCAAAGGTATCCAAACACCACCACTCTCTCCCTCTTCCTCCCTTGTGTTCGGCCAACCTACAGCAGCAGCCACGCGAGGAGATTCCGACGAGTAGATGGGGAGGTAGAAGAAGGAAGTTCACGCAAGGAGTTCGTCCGATCGTTGTTCGTCATTCAACGTTGTCAACTGTTCATTCGTCTCGTTTCATTGTTCCGCCAACCCCTTTGTTTAGAGGTGAGTACGTTGCCCTCTAACCTTAGAATTCGTAGTATAATCATATCGTTATATTCATAGGATTACCCGGCTAAACTTACGTGTATCAACGTTATCATGACTGTACTCTTCGTTGTTTAGACTCTTCAATTTCGTAATTGATAATATAAACGTTGTAAAGCCCTGCAAATTCGTAGGATACTTAACACAAAAACTTAGACGTTCATCCTAAACACTTTCAACGTATTGACGACAACCAAACAAACAAAATAGGAATCAGCGTGCCTTGATAATCGATTTACAAGATAGTATAATCGACTATCAGGCCATGCTGAACTCCTCAGTTCTTTAGCAAAGCGTGATAATCGATTATTACATATGTGATAATTGACTATCAGGCCCTGCGGATTTTTGAGGCAGAGTTTGGTTTCACTGATAATCGATTACCACAGAGTAATAATCGATTATTAGGCCCCTCAGAACTTGGGTTTCCTAGAAGAAAAAAACTTGACAATCGATTGTCACAGGGTGACAATAGATTATCACAAGCAGCGGGACTTTGGGAACAGAAGCTGCAATGCGTGATAATCGATTATTAGAAAAGTAATAATCGATTATCAGCCAGTTTTGAACCCAAAGCCATCATTTTGTACAAATCTTTCCATGTGGAATCAAACCTATATGTATGTGTTGAATTTCATTCATCAAGCAAAGCATTCATATCGTCATGTATATCCTAGGCGCATGTTTAGGGTCATGGCATACGTTGCATACCGCGACAAGAGGTCAAGCCTAGTGCGCCTCTTCCGCGGGCCCATCCAGGAACCTGCAGGATCCAACGGGTTTCCATCACGAGGGCTTGTGTACGTACATGGTAGCTAGGCTTCAGCTATAACCCACATTCTAGTCTCCATCGGGAAGACTAAGGCGTTCCTCGGCTCATCTACCGTGTGGGGATGATCATCGAAGGGCAAGGGGTCCCTGTGCAGTCTAACCCATGCATCATGATTATTTGGCATTGCATCACTATTGTTTCGTAACTTATAATTCATCAAACCTGTATGTGGTAACTCGTACTTTAGTTCAGGTACCATTATGTTTATATCAATGTGAATGTACTACATGTTCTACTGTTAGATTACCACCCAACATTTGCTGACGGTATAGCATTGTTTTCCGTTGCTATACGCAGGTAGGCCAGAGGATCATGGAGCTAGACCAGAACGAGTGGGTGATCGGTGCAGGCCGGATTAATTATTTACTTAAATATGAAAAACGTTTTGGGCTTGAACCCACCTTTGTCATACTTCTTATTTATGACTTAACTGTTTCATTTACATTTACTTCTGCTACAAGACATTCTTTTAAATTGGATTTAATTTCATTACTTAATAAAAGTATATCAAGGGTTTTCCGTTACAACCAACGCAAGGGTTTTCTTTGTGGACGGTCCTAAAAACTGTCTATGTAACCTCTCTGGCTAGTTGGACCGCTGTGAACCGGGTTTGCGGAACAGAGGGTGTTACATTTTGGTATCAGAACATTACGGTTCTAAAAATGATTTTGAAACCCATTTTGCAAAACATTTTCTCCAGGATCCACTGTCGCATCCTGCTTCGTATCTCCACCGGGAAAGGTAACCGCAATCATTTTAGTTACTATTATTACGTAACCTTAATAGAAAATCTCCTTTCAGAAAGGAGATGAGTCAAGCTCCCGAGCATGGACAAGTTGGTCCTCAAGGAGAACAGGAGCACGTGAGCGTGCATACCAAGGCGTCTAGCTTCACCCCGCAGCATGAGGTTCCGGAGCCGCAGGTTCCGCAACCGAATGTCGTACCACAGGCGGTTCTTTTTATACAACCGCAGCTGGCGGCCAACATGCTCCATTTCCTCCAGTCATTGGTTGGGGCATACGTACCACCGCTACCATCGTCGCCTCTAGTGGCTGTGATCACCATCGAGAAGTTGAAGAAGAACGGAGTCGAGGAGCTCCGTGGCGATCATATCGCTGATCCTATGGTTGCTAAGCACTGGCTCAAGCGCGTAAGTCAAGTTCTCAGGACCCTACAGGTTCCAATGGAGCAGAGAGGCGAAGTAGCCATCGCCTTGCTATAGGATGCCGCCTACGACTGGTGGAAGCACGCAGAAGATAAAAGATAACTTTTATTTATTGAATTGGGAAAGAGCGGAGTACAACAGAAGCAATTAAAAAAATGACAAATGAATAGAGTAAGATAGAAAATCTAGGGGCAGCCTAGTCTTCGTCTTCCTCCTCTTCGCCTTCGGTTTCCTCATCATCGTCGACGTCCATCTCATCACCATCAATGGCATCGTCGAACTCATCCTCGTCTGGGGAGCTTGACGGGGCATAGGAGCCATCCTCTTCGTCCTTGTCACCGTACACCTGCCCAAGAAACGTGCCTAGGTACGGTGGGGGGACGTAGTTGATGCGTTGGAAGTACACGTTCATGGCGTGCCCTTGGTGTTGAACAGCCTCGTCGAGCCGTTCAAGGTACCCATCCATCCCGTCGACTTTGAAGTGCAGCCGGTTGAGGGAGTCGGCGATGGAGGCAAGGTTGGCCTGGGCCTGAGGTTTGGCTGGGCCATTGGTAGTGCAGTGGCGTGCGGCAATGGCAGGTGCGGTGTTGTCCGACCTCTTTGTGAAGGTTTGGGCGCCGGTCGTCCAAAGCTTTGTGGCCTTGGTGAGTGGGCCAACGGTGGTGGTAACCTTGAACCGTTCAAGGATGTCCATCACCAAGAAGGGGTACAGGAGGAGTTGATCGTGGGCGGTAGATGTGGCGTCCGTCATGTAGATCATGACAAACTTTGCCCAATTGATCGGCGTCGAGTGCATGATGGCATGGAGGAGCTTGAGGTCCTCGCCGGACATTATCGTGTGCCCGTGCTTCCGGGGATTGATGATCCTGGACACGATGTAGAGAAGGAGGCGGCTCTCGGGGGTCGCGGAGTGGATGGTGGGGCGGCCCGTGGGATGGCGAATGAGTTCGGTGATGCCGAGATCATTGAGGACTAGGCCCTCGTTGTAGAGGACCCAATCTTCTCTACCATAGGTGGAGATGTCATCGCCTTGGTAGGGGAGGCTGGTGATGCGCCCAAGTCATTCCACGGTGAGTTCAATTGGCATGGACTTGACGAGGCTATAGATGACATCGTCCTCACCCTGAAATTCGAGTAGAAAGCTCGAATCAGCACCGGGTTGATCTCCTTCCGGGCCTTGGAGACGAACGACCATAGCCCGGTTTGGTGGACCTATGCATCGAGGAAGTCGTAGCCTAGCAACTCCGGTAAACGCTGCGGGACAATCCGCGGGGGAGCCACAACCCGCTTGGAGAAGAAGGTGAGAAAGCGGGTGCTCTCCTCCTCGGAATCGAACCAAAGATATGACCCATCGCCATCGTAGAGGCGTTCCTCGGAGGTCGTTGCAGGCACCCAGGATTTGGACTTTGATTTCCCGGAGGTACCAGCCCTGCTCTTGTCTTTGCCCATTGGGATGAAGAACACACACAAGAAAGTAGTGGAGAAGATGAAATATGCAAGGAGATTGAAGAGAATTGTGTTTGTGTGTGTAAAAGTGAAGAGATGGAGTCCAAATATATAGGGAGAGGGGTTTCCAACATTCAAATATTTTGAAAATATTGCTGTTGGAGCATTTAATTCAGTGCCCAATGGATATTTTTTTGGAAAAATTTAAGTTGAACGAGAGGGCTACATCGCTGTTGCTACATTGCTATTGAACATTTGTACATCGCTGTTGTGCGTTAAGTTTAAAAACTAGGTGTCAAACGGACAGCGATGTTGGGTTCCCTAGAGCAATGTTCCAAAACTTTTTGAAAATGTGTTAGGTTTTGAACGCATTAGAACAGCGCTATTGGGTTTACCTACATCGCTGTTTTACGATAAGGAAAAAAATTGTAAAAGTGGATAGCGATGTTGCTATAATGTACATCGCTGTTGAAGAACTTTCTGGTTTTGATTGAAAAAATGGTGTTTAAAGCAACAGCGCTGTATGAACACTGATGTTGTCCTCCTTACATCAATGTTTGCATGGTTCCCCCTAATTTTATGAACGAGGTACCTGCAAAAAAAAAAAAAAAGTTCTTCGATGCTCAAGTTAGTAAACGTTTAATAAGTTAAAATGCACAACTTAGATCATCGTCGAGTCAAGAATTCCGAGTTCACTTTGAATATGGAAGAATGACTCTTTCTCTAAAGGTTTTGTGAAAATGTCGGCTAATTGGTTGTTTGTTTCAACGAACTCAATTTCGACATCACCTTTGAGAACATGATCTCTAATGAAATGATGCCTAATGTCAATGTGTTTCATCCTTGAGTGAATAACGGGGTTTTTCGTAAAGCTTATGGCGCTAGTATTATCACAACGAAGAGGAACGTGATTGATACTAAGGCCATAGTTCGCGAGTTGTTGCTTCATCCAAAGGATTTGAGCACAACAACTACCGGCAGCTACGTATTCCGCTTCGGTTTTGGATAAAGCAACACTCACTTGTTTCTTACTAAACCATGAGACTAGAGAACTACCAAGTGAGTGGCAAGTTCCACTCGTACTTTTATGGTCCAACTTGCAACCGCCAAAGTCCGAGTCAAAGTAACCAACGAGATGACAAGAATAGCCTTTGGGATACCACGGTCCAACGTTAACCGTGCCGACAAGGTACATCATGATCCGTTTCACCGCCATTAAATGTGATTCCTTTGGACACGATTGATACCTTGCGCAAAGGCATACGCTAAACATGATATCCGGCCTACTAGCGTTAAGATAAAGAAGGGATCCGATCATACCTCGATACTTTTTGACCTCTACTTCCTTACCTTTCTCGTCTTTGTCAAGATGGTCAGATGTGCTCATCGGGGTCGCCATGGCTTTGGCGTTGTCCATTTCGAAATGTTTTAGGAGTTCTTTGCATTACTTAGTTTGGCAAATGAATGTGCCATCTCTCATTTGCTTCACTTGAAGTCCCAAAAAGAACGTGAGCTCACCCATCATTGACATTTCGAACTCGCTAGTCATTAATTTGGAAACTTTCTTGCACAAAGACTCGTTAGTAGCACCGAATATAATATCGTCTACATAAACTTGAACCAAAAGGATGTTGTTATTTTTACTCTTGATAAAAAGTGTAGTGCCAACCTTTCTCCTTTGGAAGCCACTATCCAAAAGAAATTTACTCAAACATTCTTACCAAGCACGGGGTGCTTGTTTAAGATCGTAGAATGCTTTCTTGAGTTTGAAGACAACGTTGGGATACTCAAAGTCTTCAAACCCCGGGGGCTGGTCAACGTACACTTCCTCTTGAATAAAACAATTGAGGAAGGCACTCTTAACATGCATTTGATAAAGTTTAAAATCAATACCTTCTTCTTGAAGCAAAAGCAAGAAGTAACCGTATAGCTTCTAAACACGCTACGGGTGCATATGTTTCTTCAAAATCAACACCTTCTTCTTGATTGTAGCCTTTAGCTACGAGCCTAGCTTTGTTTCTAGTGATTATACCATTTTCATCGAGTTTGTTACAGAACACTCATTTCGTATTAATAATCATATGATCATTGGGTCTTGGCACCAATTCCCAAACGTCATTTTGTTTGAATTGGTTTAGCTCCTCTTGCATAGACAAGGTCCAATGTCCATCGTTTATTGCTTTGGAAATGGTTGTAGGTTCAATTTGAGAAACAAAAGCCATGTGTCCTACAGTGTCCCTAAGTGAGTTACGAGTACTTACCCCGCGGTTGATGTTTCCGATTATCTGATCAAGTGGGTGGTTCTTGTTCGTTCTCTATGCAACGGGAATCTTGGTTTCTTAATGATCCTGGCCTTCCTCGTGTTCTTCTTCGTTCTCTTGATCTTCTTCATTTTCGATAGTCACTTGAGGTGTTTCCTCAGTTTGCGGCTGCGGGTTGGTGTATATTGGTGTGTCTTCTTCATCATCTTCAATGTGTATTATTTCGAGTGAATCTCATGAGGGGACAACATGAGGGGACTTCTGAATAGTCAAAGTACGTTTATTAAAGACTTTATAGGCCTTGCTACGTAGTGAGTAATCAAGAAAAATCCCTTTGTCCGACTTGGCATCAAATTTTCCCAAGTTATCTTTGTCGTTATTATAACAAAACATTTGTAACCAACGAATCAAAGATGGGAAAGGTTTGGCTTTCTCCCTTTGTATAATTCATAAGGCGTTTTCATAAGTATCGGTCGAATGACGGCTTGGTTTAATACGTAGCTCGCGGTACTCACGGCATCCGCCCAAAAATACTTAGGGATTTTTGCCTCATTGATCATAGTTCTAGCCATCTCTTCGAGACATCTATTTTTACGTTCCACCACTCCATTTTGTTGTGTTATACGTGGGGCTGAGAAATTATGATCAATGCCGTTCGTCACACAACTCCGAAAATAGATTTCGTTCAAACTCTCCCCCATGATCGCTTCTTATGGATACTATGGTTGTTTCTTTTTCATTTTGAACTTTCTTTAGAAAATTTTTGAATACGTGAAATGCCTCACTTTTTTTGAGTTAGAAACAAGGTCCATGTAAACCTAGAGTAGTCATCGACAATTACAAACGCAAAGGAATTACCACCAAAATTTTTGTTCTAGAAGTACCAAAAGTTTAAGCGGTCTAGACATTGAAACAACGTTTTTAGACTTAAATGAAGCTCGAACTTGCTTCCCCTTTTGACATGCATCACATATGGTGCATTTTTCAAACATAAGTTTTGGAATGTCAATTACTAAGTTTTGTGAAACCAATTTGTTCAAAAGGTTCATGTTCATATGAGCTACCCTTCGGTGCCATAACCAAGTGTCTTCGTCTTTACTCATGAGGCACTTAGAAAAGTCGGAAGGTGATTTGTCTATGTTAACCAAAAAAATGTTATCGATTCTATCACCACGTAGAATAACCTTATTGTCACTAAGGCGTTCTACCATGCATGATTTCGAATTGAAGGTCACACGATTTCCCTTGTAACATAATTGACTTATGCTCAAGATATTGTGTTTAAGACCTTTAACTAGCAAGACATTATCTATAGAGGAGTCATTAGATTTACCTATCAAACCAATGCCGATGATTTTTCCTTTGCTATTGTCTCTAAAGATTATGTTCCCTCCTTTAGATGGTTTAATTTAGAGGAACTTCGATGCATCCCCGATCATGTGCTTGGAGCATCCGCTTTCAAGGTACCAAAGTACACTTGATGCCTTCAAGCACACCTATTAAACACATCAATGAGTTTTAGGTACCCAATTTACGTTGGGTCCTCATGTGTTAGGTGTGTGATGGTAGTGTGCTTGATTTTGTGATAGGTGCCTATGCCTAGTGAAACAAATGAGGGCAATATGGCCTAACCTATTGCAATAATGACAAACTACATTGGGGTTATACATGTTTCTAGGTTCATGGTACTTAGGGGGTCTAACCATAGAAAAAGATGGTCTTTGAATATTTTGAAATTGACCTTTCCTAAGTGCTCTAACATTATTACTTCTATTTTGAGAAAAATTAGTTTTATGCTTAAAATCATTTTGATAATTTTTCTTAGGTTGTCTACCATAAACATTTTCATTCCTAGATTTTTTTCTAGGTTGTCTAGTGTCCTTAGGTTGACTAAGGTTTCTATCATCATGATTTTTAAGTTTTTTACGTTGAGCCTTAGGTAGTTGTCTTGGCGTTTGCCCAATGTTTTCTTTAACCTTAGCTTCGTTTTTATTAAAACCTATTCCTTCCTTAGAAAAATGCATAGTGTCAAGGAGTAAATTTAAATCTTTATGTGAAGTGTTAAACTTCTTGACCGTGCTCTCAAGTTTAGTGACTTGTTCTTTTAAAGCTTTACAAGATTCACATTCACTTAAGGAACTTTCTAGTTTGTCTGCGCTTCATTTTCCAAGAAATTTGTTTTCTTGTTTTAATTTTTCATTATCTTTTTCCAAATTTTCAAAATCGTTTTCAAGTGTGGAAAGACTTTTCTTTAAAGATTTGTTGGTTTTGGAAGCGCTAACAAATTCTTCGTAAAGTTCATGAAGTGCTTCTTGCATTTCTTCAAAAGTATAAGAGTCGGAAGAAGTGGTACATACCTCTTTGACGTCGTCGCTTTGATCTTCGTGCGCCATGAGGCAGAAGTTTGCAGCTTCATCCTCCTCTTGGTCGGTTGATTCGTCGCCGGAATCGCCACCCCGAAAGATGTAAGCTGCACTTGAATCTGCACTTATCGTCTTTGCCGTGCTTGGCTATTGGACACCTCGACTTGATGTGGCAAATCTCGTCACAACCGTAGCACTTAGGAGGACCGTCATGCTTCCATCCCTTCCGCTCAAATTCCTTCTTCATGAACTTGTGGAACTTTTTGATGACGAGTCCAAATTCCTTGGTGGCTTTGAGAGCAATTCCCTTTTTCTTTTGTTCGTCCAACGATGGATTAAGAAAATGGTAGATTCATAAGTTTTGAGACTACCTCTTAACCCATCAATTGTGACGTTGGAGACGCCAATTGACTCGTAGATGACATCGACCTTGGAGCGTTGTTCGGGAGCTAGGCTGCGAAGGATCTTCCTCACTAGATCCTTGTTGGAGTAGCTTTTCTTCAAGGCGTGAAGATCGTTGATGATTTTTGAAAAACGGTCGAACATGTCATCAATTTTCTCACCTTCGTTCATTCGGAACATTTCGTACTCTTGGGTGAGAAAATCGATTTTGGCTTCACGAACTTGATCGGTACCTTCGTACGTCACTTCAAGCTTGTCCCACATCTCCTTGGCGGTTGTGCAACAGGAGATCTTTCGGTAATCGTTGGGGTTAACCGCACAATACAACATGTTGATGGCCTTGGCGTAGTTTTCCACCTTCTTGATGTCTTGTGCATCAAACTCATCCTCGGTCTTTGGGACCATGGTTTCTCCCACTTTCTTCATCGGTATTTTCTTGCCATTTTTGATGACCAACCACAATTGGAAGTTGGTGGAACGGATATAGATTCTCATCCGTTCCTTCTAATGGGAGTAGTTGGTACCATCAAAGAGCGGTGGCCTAGAGGTGGATTGCCCTTCGCCAATACCTGCGTACAAATTTCTAGAAGAAGAGCCCATGACCTTATTCCTCTCAAACGGTTAAGTCTGAAAGAGAGTTAGGCTTCGATACAAATTGTTAGAAAAACGTCATAACGCTAGATGGGGGGTGAATAGCTTTTGAAACAAAAATGACGCAAGAATAAAAAATTTAAAGCGTAAAGTAAAGAGCAAGGAAGAGGCACATTGTTTTTACCCTGGTTCACCAGAACGTGTGGCTAGTCCAGCCTCCCGAGAGACTCTCTCAAGCTACACTATCAACGTTAAGATTAACGGTGCTTAACAAACCCGTACAACTTGAGAGTTTGAGTCACACGAACCTCAACGAACCTGCGAAGGAAACAACCCTTCCTTCGAACTACTCAAGAGAAAAGCTTTCTCTTATCAAGTTTCTAAAAACACTAAATCACTCAAGAACAATGCTCTCTTTTAGTGTGGACAATGAGTAACTAAAAATGCTCAAGAACACAACACGAACTTCACAAAAATGGCTCTCAAAAAACTATGAATAATGTATGAATGTAATGCAATGAATAATACAATTTGTGAAGTAATGTGATGTGTAAAGCAGACCAAACACCCCATTTTATAGTAGAAAAATAGGCACCAACGGGTAGGAGTTGAATAGGGGTGATTGGCACAATTTGTGGGATTTGATTGAAATTGGAGTGATTGGCACACCCCAATTAAAAGGAGTTTCAGAGAGGAGGAACCAAACCGAATTTGTCATACTTGAGGATTTAGGGTTGTGATGTTTACATTAGACGCCTCATGACGTCTGGTAAGCTGGACTCGAAATCTGACAGGTGTAAATTTGTGGGATACCCGAAGGAAACGAAAGGATATGAGTTTTATCATCCGACCGATAACAAAATCTTTGTTGCTCGGAACGGAACCTTCCTTGACAAGGAGTTTCTCTCTGCTATTTCTAGTGGGAGAAAGGTAGACCTTGAAGAAATTCGAGAACCAGAAGAAGAGATCTCAATAGCAGTGGAACCCGAGCATCAAGATTTAGTATCTCGATCGGCTCAGGTTTTACCACGTAGGTCAGACTGAATGCGTAATCCTTTGGTTAGATACGGCTTCCTTGTATCTGGTGAAGGTGACGTCTTGCTGGTACACCAAGGCGAACCTGAGACCTACCTCGAGGCAATCACGTGTCCCTTATCCGAAGAATGGCTTAATGCCATGAAATCCGAAATGGAGTCTATGTACACAAACCAATTCTGGACCTTGGTTGATGCGCCCGAAGGGATAAAACCCATTGTAACACCCGCCTTCCGTGGACCAGGTTCACTCGCGACCCAACGGACTGGTAGGGTTACATGGACGGTCCGAGAACCATCTGTAGCGAGAAAACATTTATGTCTATTTATTATGAAAACAGTTGTGTTTAATTGATGAAATAAATGCTAGGGAGTTAACCAAAACGTGTGTGATATAAATGCAGAGTAAAAGCGGAAGTAAATAATTGAGTCCAGTCCAAAATAAGTAAAACGACAATGGTGGGTTCAAGCCCAATAGCTTAATTAATTAAGTAAATATAATACTAAACTTGTCCGCACGTCGTCCATCCTCCCACCATCACTGTCTTCCAAGGTTAGCACCTGCACCGTCATGTCTACCTACGTGTAGCAAAAACAACTACACGCTCAGCAAAAGCTAAGGAGTGAATCTAACAAAAGAACATAAAGCGATAACCCATATGGTTACATAAATATTAATACATGTACTTAACGTACGGGAAACCACATGTTTACTACCTGTTCAAACTGCACTTGGTGGGGTATTATAACGCATAACAAAATGATATACAACCACATTGAATGTTGATGTGATGAGAAACATACATGATGATGACTTGATGCATGACTTAAACTAACAGAGACATCTCACTTGACAGGATCACCCTTACACTCCGGTTATCATACCGAAACGGTGATGAGCCGGGCTCAACGTAAACGTCGCAAGTGAACTTGCAAAACCGGGTAATAGTCGTAACCTCACTACCATGTACGTACACAAAACCCACCTGATGAAAACCCCTTGGATCCCAAAGGTTCCAGGACAGCCCCACTGTAGTAGGCGCACGAAAGTCTGAGCTCCCTACAGCGGTATGCACATGATGAAAAGCCTAGGACATGCGTCTAGAATGAACATGATGAATGCTTGATATATTTACCTTAGGTCAATGCCAAGAATATATCAATTAAATAACATACATAACGAAGATTAACATTTCATGCACACATACATTCAGATTCTTGGTCAATATGGTCAACGGGGCGACAACTGCCCAGAAAACTGTCCGCAGAACGGTCGATCGTACCCTAACGGCAGTCGATCGTGGGCTACGGTCTGGGTCTGGGTCACAAACGGTCAACCGGGGTCTTCCGTCACGGCCGGCGGTCGACCATCACGGTGGTGACTGTCGGAATGGCCGAGGGAACGGTCCGCCGTCCGTAGCGGCGGTCGACCGTCCCATAGACAGTCTTCTATCTTTGGCTTCGTTTTGATCCATTTTGAAAACTTAAGACCTTGATTCTTTTTAGAACAATAACACAAACATTGATGAATATATTCCTAGTGATTCCTAGGCCAATATATATAAGTTTTATGTAGTGAACGTCTTGACGGCTAACCTACGAACATGCATAGATTCTACGTAGATTGCGTATGATATTCCTATGAATATAACGACATAGATTATAACTAAATGTTCTAGAATTAGAGGGGACAACTACTCACCTCTAAACGTAAGGGTTGACGGAACGATAGGACGAGATGAACGAATGGTTAGCAACAAACCAACGAACGGACGAACGGACAACCCCCTACGTGACTTCCCTTCTCTTCTACCTTCCGCCTACTCGCCGAAATCCTCTCCGGGACTGCTTGCGGCCTTGGCCGAAAATCAAAGGAAGAAGAAGAGTGTATGTGTGATTGTCTTGGAGGTTACAATTTGCTAAGGGAAGAGGAGGGGAAGAAACCTAGTATATTTAAGGGAGAATTAAGAGGAATATTGATGGGTATTAAGTGGGGCAAATGAGGGGTGTGTGTGTGGCGTGGGAAATGAGGGGAGTTAATTGGGGAGTTATTCCCCTTAAGTTTACTCTGTGATGTAAAAATCTGACCTGAATGGTACGCATTTTCCACCCGAACAGGTCCAAATCGAGATCCATTAGCGTTTTTGAAATCAGACAATCAAAACGAATTTAATGACATGTTCAAATAATTTTGAACAGAACTTTTATTTTCCCCAACTCCAGTCCGGAACAGTAATTAATTATTTAAAACAATCAATTCTATTAGACCGGGTTGCAGGGCGTTACAATTATCCACCCCTTAAGAAAATTTCGTACTCGAAATTTACCTAATCATTGGTCACTGAAAAGATGTGGATAACGAGTACAGATGGATTCCTCGGTTTCCCATGTCGCCTCCTCGACGGTGTGACTTCTCCACAGAACTTTGACTAGCGGAATGGTTTTGTTCCTCAACTGGAGGATCTCGCGAGCCAGAATCTCAACCGACTCCTCTTCATTAGTAAGGTTCTCGTCGAGAGTGACCGTGTCGGATGGAATCACATGAGAAGGGTCTGACCGGTATCTACGGAGCATATATACATGGAACACGTTGTGAATCTTGCTCAGGTCAGATGTAATTCGAGCCTGTAGGCTACAGGTCCCACCCGTTCAGTGATTGGGTATGGGCCTATAAACCTCGAACTAAGTTTCCCCTTCTTGCCGAATCGTAAAACATTCTTCCAAGGAGATACCTTCAAGAAAAACTTATCTCCCACCGCATACTCGATATTGCACCTCTTAAGATCGGCGTAGGACTTTTGTCGGTCCGATGCCACCTTAAGTCGGTCCTTAATCACCTGGACCTTCCCCTCAGTCTCATGAACTAGATCTGGTCCTTCCAAATTCCTCTTGAAAGGTAACCACGGTTGGGAGGGTAGCGGAAAAACAAAATTTAAGCTCCCAATTGTGATTACTAGCCCAAGAACACATACTAAAACTATAGCTAGAGATAGAAACTTATACCTTCTCCAGTAAAGCGGTATGAACGAGAAGTCGAGCAAAGGTGTTGAAGGACCAAACATAGCCGTTCAAGCGTCCGACCTCTAACTTTGACACACGAACAATCTCCGGAGTCTACTATAATCTTTATGCTAGTAAAGATTATAATAATATATTAAAATATAAAGATTATTTTAGGGATAATAATAATCTTGTATATTAAATAGTATAAAATATATCAATAATATTTTAAAGAAAATATTATATCAATTTTCTACACCCAAAATAAATTTGGAACCCAAAATGTTTGTTTTCTGCCCTTTTTCTTGGTTTGGCCGAAAGAATCAAGTAGTGTAGTGAAGGAAAAAATTCATTTTATTCAAAATGATAAAAGACATAAACAACCATAAAAGTCCAAAATGTCACTTTGTCAAAAACGCTTCCTCCACTAACTCTAAAGTGGGAGACAATGCCATGACCTCCACCAAAATAATGCATAGTACGAAAGTAGAAAAAGGGGGGAAGAATTTCATTCCCTTAATTGACCTAGGAGTTGTAGTTGTTCCCGGGCATCCTCGGAATCTTATATTATTGATATTGATGCATTTGTTATTTGTAAATAAAACTCAAAAACCAAAAGAATAAATAATATAGGATCATTGTCAATACTATTTATGAGCTGGGAATTCGGTCAAATATGCCTTTCATTCCTGTCGAATAGATCTTGTTGTTATTAATTCATGAGTTCGAAGGAGGAATTTATGTCACCACAAACAGAGACTAAAACAAGTGTTGGATTCAAAGCTGGTGTTTACACTTTCTCCTCTCAAATGTTCAAAGTGTATTTTATTTGGCATCAATAATTTTTATGATATAAAATAAAATACCCAAAACATTTTTAAACGAGTATATAAAATAAACTTTAAAATAGTTTTTGTCAAAATAATTATTTTCATAATTAAAATGACACTCCAAAATAAAATGTACAGCACAATATAATATTTTATATATATATATATATATATATATATATATATATATATATATATATATTATGTGTGTGTGTACACGTTATTAAAGTATATTACATACATATATATGTGCGCGCATACATATTACATATATATGTATATACACTATCATGTATCCATATATATATATATATATATATATATATATATATATATATATATATATCTGTGTGTGTGTGTCGTGTACAATATATATATATATACATATATATTATATTAAACATTTTATTTTACTATTTTACAATATACAAATTAAATATTATCCCTTCTCATAATCTTACTCTTTAAATTGTCCAAAGTGTGTGACCCATATAGACACTTATAAAACCCACCAGTATTGACTCTACACCAATACTATAAGTAATAAGCGGTATCTAGCAACACATTATTACCCCCAGATTATAAGTTCAGACGTTTGCTCCGTCAAAACCTTTCTACGACTAAGACTTTGTATAACGTAGATCCTTTTGTCCCAATGTCTTAACTTAGTGCAAGGGATATAAAATATCTAACTTGTAGCCATAAAGTTATTTACTGATTAACAAGTCTGACTGATGAAAACAGATGTCTAAACTCATCTCAGCATGGCCATGCATTTCTTTAGTCATACTTATCAGTGGGCCCCCCCACAAGACATTATTCTGCTTGAGTAGCAGTGACAAATTCTTTGTACGTAATCTACGTCTTCGAATACGTGCAGCGGCATGCCCAATACAAAGCCTGTGTACTATCCTTATTTCATACGGCTTAGGACAATGAATCAAAGCATGCGGGTTCACGCATTCGAAGAACGTTATACCAATAGTCGCATTAAGGACAGTTAGAGCATAGAGCCATAGACTAAAAGTCTAGGCAATGTCCGGCAATGTCCTTAAGGTGGGTCAGGTCTGGCATCCTATTATTAACGATAATATCTGCCCGAGAGTAGATACGAACACTCCGTCATTGACCAAGAGACTATTCCTCAGCAATTTAGGATCCAATGAATACTTAAGGGATGCATACCTTGTCTCTTCAAGTTAGAAGGATTGAAATATTC